CTGTTTAACTAAAAACCATGTTGATCACATAGTCTGTTCTTTCTGGGACCCTGGAAGATTCAAAGAGTATAATCAGCTTATTGTCTAACCAGAGCCCTCCCCAGCCCTTGCACCACCAACTTCAGGGGCATGAAATGAGCCTATTTTCCAAGTTATTCCTATTCTCACCTTAGAGATTGGGAGAATAAAAGTCTGGAGAAGGAAGGAATCTTTCCTAAAGTCCTCAGCACTTTAAGAATAGAACCAGGGTTCTGGCTGAGAAGAAATGAATGTTAAGGGGAAGCTTTGTGAAAATGAATATAGCTAGAACTAGGAGCATAGCAATTTCTTTCTTCCAGACAAGAAAGCATCACTCTCGGAAATGTTCCTTGAGATCTACTCACAACCAATAAGAAATAGGGTACAGCTTTTGGCAAAAAGTGTGTTGGAATTTTATCCTAGACTTACTGATCTTGCTTTTCGAAACTGCAAATATTGGTCAGAGCCACTGCACCCTGTGTTGATCTCCTCTGACAGATGTCTCTAAGGGCAGCATTCAGACGCAGCCAGGATGCTTCCAAGTGGGACTCCCTCATTCATATTTATGGGCTTGGACACATGTCTTCCCGCATCACCAATAAACCTCAACTCAGAGTGAATCTGCTCTGGGGAAATGTGCTGCTTGCCAAAGGTGATCTGAGTCAGCTGAGAAGGAAGAAAGGAGGGATGTGCGACCCTCAACATCTCGGAGAGCTTCCAGCAGATATGAGTCTTGGGGAGGGGAAGAAGCCTATCTTGTAGTCCCCACAGAAACTGTGATTATTTCCTCCTTCCCTTATAAGCAGCTTCACATTTCAGGTGCCCTGGAGGAAGAAGAGGTGACTATGGGCCTCTCAGAGATGTTGTGCACTGAGATTCTATAGCCTCCTCTCTCCAATTCCTTGTTTTCCCCATCCTGCTTCCCTGACACCTTCAAGTAACATTCATTGCAGTTCCTGGAAGGAGGCGCTGTGGGTCTCTGGAGGCTGAGTCTGTGACTGTAAGACTGGCACCTCCACCACCTCACAGCCTGGCAGACAGTAAGTGCTTTATTCTTGTTCTGTTTTTATTCTCCCACTGATATTTGATGACTGTGGCTAAGGATGCCCAAGGCATCAGGAGATAAGAGTTATTTTTAGCACATTTTTCCTGAAATTGCAAACCTTGAAATTTCAAATTTACCCACCCTGAAGATATTTAGAAAATTCCTTATTAAAAAGAAAGAGCAAATACCCTTTTACAGGAGATTTAATGCTATAACAAAATATAAATTCCACTGCACTTATAGAGAGAAAAACTGCAATAATTTTTCTGGTGAGCCAAGTTATGAAAAATTATATTACAGCTAATATGCCAATTAATTCACCATTGGATCAATCATCAGATATTTTATTCTTATTTTATAACTCTGATTTCTTCAAAACCCTGTAAGTTCCCTGCATTTTTATTAGACACATCAGCTAATTCTGTTTTGAGCACCACCCCCCACTCCTGAGCCTTCCCACCCTCTGTGGCCATCAAATTTCCTGTTTCTACATCTTCCAAGACTGAATCATCTAAGCTTCAAGCCAAGCCTTAGAAACCCCAAAAAATATATATAATTCATCTTCCCTGACCTCTTAGCTCATTTCCATACTTCCATCTAAACACCTAATCAAACAGATGTCCCTCTCTATTAGCCTCGGCTTCAGCTGTGGTTCACCTGTTTATCTTTCCTTCCCTCTGGAATCGCCCTGGGAGAGTGATCCAATCCAATCTCATCAGAAAGTTCAAATAATGTTTTTCTAGCTGAATTTATAATAGATGTCCTACTTTTCCAAATAGAAGATGTAGGGAAGGAAAAAAGTCAGTGAGAAGATGGTGATTTAAAAAAAAAAAATGAGGATATAAATTCAGAACTGACAACTAACAGATCAGAAATTTTAGGTTCTTACTAGAGAAGTGAACCAATTACCAGAGTTTAAGAGATTTGCCTAACCTCACACAGCAAACTGGGGTTCATGCTAGGGTTTGTGACTCGCAGTCACAATCCTATTCCTTTTCCAAAGTTCATTTATCTAACAGTTTTTCTACAATTATCACAAATTAGAATTATAATCTAGTAACTGAGGATATAAGGCAGATAATATAGAGCCCTGCCTTTGAAATGTAAATACTCTTTTACAATGAGGTAAGAAAAAACATACATTAATTTCATTTCTAAATTTATATTAATAACAAAATTAAATACCCCATCATTTCAAATAGCTTTATGTTTTCAAAGTTCTTCCAAATGTATTAGCTTTGACCTTGTGGGTATATTCTTTTATATTTAATTCCTCTTTCAGTAAGTTGTACCTTTCTGGTATGGTTTATTTCTAGATGTCCCCCCAAAGCTTCACGTGCTCATATGTGGGGATTATGAGAGGTGATTGAGTCATGGGGGTGAGGTATTCATCAGTGGATTAGTCTACTGAAGAGTTTATAGCCAACTGTGAAGTTGGGATGTACAACCTGGTTGGAGGAAGTGGCAACTGGGGTCTGCCTCCTTCTTCCTACTTTTATCTCTCCCTACTTTCTTCCACTGCACCATGAGCAGCTCTTCTCTGCAATTCCTTGAAGATAGTGAACCATGGTCTGAAGCCTCTACAAACTGTGAGCCAAAATAAATCTTTCCTCCTTACAGCTTCGTCCCAGTGACCAGAAACTCAGGCACCCTTTGTAATTCATTCTCCCTAGAACTTAAAAGCAGCAACACAGTCTGCAGAGAGAATTGAGACCAACCAAGTACTCCTTGTTGAGGACAATGACTGAGCACTGAGTTTCCTGAGTTACTGGGTAGAGGATGTTGAATCAGGTTACTTCTCTCTCAGGGAACATAAGGGTGAACCATACTATCACAGCCTCTGTGAATTCTCGCTGGCACACTTGCTGCCCACAGCAATAGTTCTCAAATCTCAGACAGCATCTCCTTTAGTAGGCAATGGTGGGGGCTGACAACATGCATTTTTCAGTAGGTTCCTATGGTGCTCATGCTGCCAGTTGGGGCTGTGTTTTGAAAAACACTGGGAAGACCTCTTCCTGCTCATGTAGAGCTCAGCTATAACTAACGCCCCTCCTGCTCAGACTCAGCTCACATAGATCTTTCCAGATGCCCCATGGATGCCCCCCAAGACCCACAATGATATGATTCCCAGTGTCTCACTAAAATCTGCATTTTCTCCATCACAGGGAAGTATATTGTTGCATCTCCAAAACCTGTGTGTCTGCATCAACCATGAGCAGGAAAAAGGCAGAGGCAGGTTTTGCTGACACTGTACCCATCACAGGCACAGTTCCTGGCACACCACAGATTTTATTCATGCAGACATAAGTGATAAAGAGAAGTAAGTCAGCATGCACATGTGGAGAATATAAGTTACATGTGGATCTCGGGGTCCAGAATCCACTCTAACTGGAAGGGCAGTTAAATTGGTGACTGATGTTGATAACTGACAGTTGTCAACAGTGCCTTCCATTGGTTCCTTCTCTCTTTGCATATGAGTGCTGCTCCAGCTACCAAGAGGTGGTGCTCATTTCCATTTTCTTTGAAAATGAATTGGCCTTGTGAATTTTGTGGATCAGTGAAATGTTGCAGAAAGGACATTGAGCTAGTTCTGCAACAGGCCTTAAAGAAGCTTTTCAGCTTCTGCTTTCTCTTTGGGAACTCTGACATAATTTAGGAAATCGAGCTGCCTGGTTTTGTTCTGAGGAAGCCTAGGACACTGCATAGTAAGACCATGCCCATTGTCTATACTCCAGAAGCGAGGATGAAGCCTTCTTTGACATTCCAAGACAAATCCGTCACCAACTCCATGCAGCCTAATGAGTGACTGTTCTTGTAACACACTGAGAGTGGGGGTATCTTGTCAATCAGCAGCCAACAACTAAAAATACAGAAAGTGAAACTGGATTTAATGCTTCACAAGCTACAATATCAACATTATTCCTTATAGACTAACCTTATGCCACTAAACATTGGTAATCTTTTTGGAATAGAATTGTGTTCACAATAAATGCAATAACATAAAATATAACTATTTTTTCAGTGATCAACAATGTAAAAATTGTTTATAAGATATTCTATGTATAATGAGAGACAAATTGTCATATAGCTCAAGAGTATGAATCCAGAAATGAAGAATATTAATATAAGTCATGGTAATAATCATCAGTTATGCACCCAAATATTAGGTATTGAACAATATTTTTCTCATTTAATCCTCACAAAATGTCATTACATAAAGATTGCTGTTTCCATTTTAGTACTGAGTAATCTAAGACTACCTCTGAGGTTAGCTGGAATAATACTAAGTCCAATAGTCAGATGTGTTTTCATTCTTTTATTTCTGTAGGCTTAGATCTTGTATACAATAAAGCATAAAAATACTCCAAACTCTTCAGTCTTCTGTTTTGAACTTTTAAAGATCAGCAGTCCCCACATCATCAACCAAAATATATTGATATGCTTTTAGTAGCAAAAATAAGGGCACAAACTCCTGACTCAAATAAGAGAAAAACTAAGATAGAAAACCTTAAGCACATTTCTCTGTCTGGGAAACCTCTGAGGCTTTTTTGTACTAATGAGCTCTGTGAATATGATGCAACCTTTCTGGAAATGATTTGACCTTGAAATCCTTTCAGACCACCAATTAGCATCACCTACAGGCAATGGTGCTCCACAAAATATGATCTAAAATATGCTACTATAGACAGACTTTCCAGGTAGTCAATGGATTTATTTTAAAGGGAAACAATTATCCTGGGAAGAAATTAGGCCAATGGGTAAAAACTATCCCATTTAAACTATTTAATTATAAAATGTTTTATACCTGAATGTATGGTATATTAAAAAAATTAAGGGCTATACTGAAGTAAGTATTGCAAAACTTATTTCTTGTATAGAGGCTCAAGAGAAAAGAAACCATATTCCAAAAGAAACCATTCACATTGAGGATTCACAATGAGGATTTTATTTGCCCTGTACTATGTGCACCTGGTCAGCTGGGACCTGAAGAGGAGACAGTGGTGTTACACAGGGTTGGCATGTGTCCTTTCTCCTGCCCATCCATGAACTGTCCTTTCCCCTCAGCTTTCTTTCCAGAAAAGCTTCTTCCTGTGGAAGAAAAGAGAGTGAGATGTCACCATTGAGCTGGGCCAAACAACACATTGGAGCTTTCTTCTAAAAGGCTACTTTTCTGAGCATATTGGAAGACTCAGAACCAACTAAAAATAACATGAATTTTACAACTGAAAGTTGCTTTAGTGCAGAATAGAGATAAAGCCAAGTCTTCTGACAAAGTTCTGACAAAATAAGCTTACTGTAATCTCGGTGTCAGAATGTGAGGTTGAAGAGGAGCTGGATATGAAAACCCAGATGCCACCACTGTAGACATGTTTTAGTGAACAGGAAATGAAAGTTATTATCAGAACCCAATCTATATTGTTTTGATTATATCTGTATGTGTAGCTGAAAAACTCATAAATTATAAAAATTTCTCATTCTATATTACTAGCAGATTTATCCTCAAATAAGTCATTTTTATGAAGTCATTACACCCCCAAATATTTTTTAAGTACTGTATCTTTGTGGTCAGTGAGAACCTTTTCTGATAATTGCAGTCTAGGTTCTGCTGCTCAGAATATTCCTGTTTCCTTACATTCTTTATTTCAATGGCTCTTTTTTGGTTAGTTGGGTTGATGGAAAGTTTAAAATGTTCTGTTGCTAAAGAATATAAAAACAATAACTAAAACTAAGGAGTTCAACAAACTAGAATCTGATTGCACAAAAACTGTGTATATTAGTAATATTTTATCCTCAAAAGTATTTACTTGCCCATTGTATACACATACGTATTTTTACACGCATATAGACAAACACACAATCATGAGATGTTTATACAATAAGATTTGACAATTAAAAGAAAAGACCCCGTAGAGAGACTAACTGAACACGCTTAGATTTATTTAAAACACTAAGTTATAATTTCCATGTTTCATACTGTTCACATGAAAACTTTGTCAAGGAATAAGCTCCAAGAGCAGCATGCTTTTTTGCAAAGAGCATGGGCTTTGTCCAAATAGACTCACATTTATAAACTAATTCTCCAATCTGTGTAGAAAACATAGAATCTGGGACAGAGTCAATTACCTTGTAACCACACGCTTAACCATTCAAGTGCATTTTGGTCTGATTCCTGTTGTCCACAGTGATGTCAAAGTAGTTCAACCTGCAATTCAAATACCTCTGTTTACATGATGCTTCAGTGTACAAAGATTTATGAAAAGTTCTTCAGAAATATATTCATTGCCAACACAATATATTGATTCTTTTTATTTGAGCTGTCTGTGAACTTTAACTAGCTTTCTCTAGCAGGAACAAAATAAGGGAAATTTATCTGGGAATGATAGTGCATGCTTATAATCCTAGGGCTCTGCAAGACTAAGGCAGGAGGACCACAACTTCAAGCCCAGGCAGAGTAACTTACCAATTTATCAACCCCTTAGGAAGGGCTGGGAATGTAGCTCAGTATAAAACCCTGAGTTCAATCTTCAGTACTGAAATAAAAAAAGGAAATTTTTTTTGAGTACACTACTTTACAGTGGGTAAAATTTCATGTGTATATGTGTGGATGAAAATTAAAGTCTTAAATTCTTTTAAATTACAATATGACTTACAAATGATAAATTCATTTTTTTAAAACTTTGTTGCATAAGTTCTGACAAATGTATGCGTATAGTATGCGATCATTAATAATATGATACAGAGAGCACTTCCATCGTTTCACATAGTTCCTTGTCCCCTTTCTATCTGTGCCACTATTATCCATTCATCTGTTTTCTGAATTTCCTTTTTCACATTTTCCAAAAGTTTCATCTGAATGGAATTATTCCATGTGGAATTCCTGGGTTTGGCTTCTTTCTCTGAATATAATATTTTTGAAATTCACCCATTGACAGAATGAGTAGTATGGATATATCATAATTCATTTAACTATCCATTGATTGATGGACATTTGAATTGCACCTGGTGTTGGACTATTATAAATAAAGCAATGGACATATATGTCCAGGTATTTGTGTAGACATGTTTTCATTGTCCATAGATAAATGTCTAGAATTTGGATTGCTCAGCATTATGCTAGATATTAAACTTTAGGGGAAATTTTTAAGGTTCTACTATAACAAAGGAAAAACATGTGCAAAGACAGGCAGAAAAATACTGTTTTTCTGTGTGTGTGTGTGTGCGTGTGTGTGTTGTGTGTGTACATGCACTCATGTGATTTCCAAGGAAGTATAAAAGGCCAGGTAGCAAGCAATGAGAAATCCATTTGGAGCCTGTGTTAGTCATGATTCATACAGAAAAATGTAAATGATTTCAGGTGTTTCAAACCAAAAGAATTTAATGCAGAGAATTTATTACTGAGGGACAGAAGTACTGAACAACTGAGCAAGGAGAGTGAGGCTGTCATCCTTCTGTATTTGGGACATGGTCTTAGGACATGCTGCTGGCAGAATTAGAGCCCTCTAGGAGGACATGGCAATACCTTGGAAGGCCTTCTCCTGGGACACAAGAGGCAACAGGGATGTCCCATCCCCCATCCTCAAATCTTCTGTTGGTACCTATCTCCTCTTGAATATGCCTAGCAGGAGGCCACAAGCGAAAGATTATATGAAATGAAGGAACAAAACAGAACAGGAAAGAGCAGGAACAGAATGATGAGAAAAAAGGCAAATACCAGGCTCAGAGAGGCGAGAAGGATTCGTGAAACAAAGAGCAGGAGGGAATCTTGTAAGTCAGTAAACACATCTTGCCACTCTACCATCAGCTGCTACTGTTATCTGTCTGCATCTCCAAAAGCTAGGACTACAGGTGGCCAAACACAAACTGTAACATAAGATCGGAAGAAGTGGATTATAAGATTCCTACTGTGATAGATTCATAGTATACATCAAAATATAAAAAGTTTCTACAAAAATGCATAAATACAGAGAAGTTCTAATTAGAATTTCCATAATATATGCAAGGATTAAACACGATATGTAAAAGATTAAATGGAAATGTAAATATTTAAGAATCAATGAGGACATTTTGATATTTCTTTTGAATTCTGAAATGCTGGTATAGAGCATCAGGACCACTGAGCTCCCAGAGAACACTGGACTGTGGGCCAGGCCTAGGGACACATGGCCAGAACAGTGGACTATAAAATAGAGTACCATTAACAGACCACATTGTGTGCAAGGATGTAATAAGAGGCAATGATGGCATCTAATTCAGTGGGAAAGGATGGATTGCTTAGTAAATGTTACAAGCACAGCTGAATATCCATCTGGAAAAATATAAAGTGGAACCCCCTTATTAGATTATGTTAAAAATAAATTCCAAGTGGATTAAAGACAAATTTTTTTTAAAAAAGGAGAGAGAGAATTTGTGAGCTTTCATAGATAGTCTCAGGGCAAATTAAGTGTGAACTTACTTGAATTTTTTTTTAAATTAAATTATCCTAGTGAGAGATGCCATACACCCAATGAACACACACACACACACACACACACACATGCACACAATGAAAAACTCAAAACAACTTGGGGAAATATTTGTAATGAGAACAGACAGATGTGCATAGTTAATAATATGCAAAAATTTTTCACACATTTACAAAAAGAATAAATGATGTGAGTGGAAAACAAATGGGCAAAGGTTTAGAAGAGGAAATCTACACAGAAACAAATCAAAATGGCCAGCAAATATGTGAAAAGATGCTCAAATGCAATAATTATGAGTGAAATGCAAATTAAAATAGCAATGAATATGGATTTACATTTATCTAGCAATTTTTACGTTTTTTTACAGTTTTACAATTTACATTTAATCTAGCAATTTTTTTAATAAAAAGGAGCAGTTATAGTTACTGAAGGCAGATGTATGAGGAATAGATCACATTTACACTGCTAGAGTAATCTGACAACACTTTAAGAAAAATTTGAATACTAAAAATTTAAAAAACAGATTTCTTTTGGCCCAGCAGATATACCACTGGAAATCTATCTTATAGAAGTAAAAGTTATCATTTGCAAAGGGATTTCCATCAATAGGCAGTGTTTGAATAAAAGTGTGTATCTATAGCAGAGAATATGCAGAAAAGCAACAAAAGATGATTGGGATTCATGTTAATAGATCTGGATGGATTTCCACAAGATTTTTCTTTAAATATGTATAAGATATTTTTTTGTAGAAGGAGCAGTGTTATTAAGCAGGGGTAAAAATTTCTACATATGAATACATAGAAAATATGAAAGAATATGTAAATTTACTCATCTTCAGTCTTGAGGTTGGGTTATTACAAGGAAAAGATTTCAGGGGTATACATACACATGTTTCTACACACACACACACACACACACATACACACATACATTTACTCACAAAACAAACAAAAAGTGGTGAATCCGCACTGCTGTGACCTCACACCCCACACACAGTAAGGATTTAGCAGGTCTATAAGTCTCCACTGCCACAGCGGCTTTTGTTCCCTGCATGATGAGAGTTTAACCAGAGAGCCTGCTTCTGCAGTCTGTGTGGCTCTTCCTAAACCAGCTATGGGATTAATTAGGATGTATGACCCTGTTTATCTTTATCATTTATTTTAGTTTGTGGTTTTCCTAAGTTACTGCTCAGAGGTTCAGTCAATTACTTTTCCCTTTCCCTTGGGTTTCCCTTGGAAAAAAATCATTTGCTTCCATTTCAGAAACACCAAGAAGTAGAAATCATTTAGCCTGCCTGCCTTGGCCTTAGTTTTTTCATCTGTGAAATGAGGATAATGATACTTTGTCCCCATCTCAAAGGGATAACGTGAAAATTAATAAGATAATTAATTGGATTTGAGCTCCTACTAAAGATGCATCATGTAGATGCAGCTTCTTATTCTTCCTAAGTTTTCAACTCGGTGGGCTCCTGTGCCTTCCCTTTTTGTAACATATTGGAGGAGCAGGGTACACTTTGTCTGCTATAATTAAGCAGAAGGTAAAACACTGGAAAATTAATAGAAATTAAATCTACTTACTTACAGGTAAATAATCAACTATTTTGGAAGAAGGCTTTTGGGACAAAGGAAATCCACTTAAATCCCGAGAGTGACTTTTGTATTTCTGCCAAGGAGAAAATACATATGCACTCACACTCATAGTCACACTCATACAAACACAACTCTTAAACCTAACTCCTTTTCTTCACCTTCACAGACGTAAGCTATAGTTCCAGGTCCTCATTTACTGTTTCTCAGAGAACTGTAATCAGCATCTTCCACCTTTGGTTCTTGGATCAGTCCATTCTGAGTTTTCATCAGAGCAATCCTTTTTGAACTTCAGAATGATCTTTCTAAAACCTAGATCTAGTCCCTCAAGGCCCTTGCCAAAACCTTTGACTTGTTCCTTATGCTTTTCTTATAAATCCACACAACTTTTGAAAGGTGTTCTATAACCCTGTGTGACTTCCCACTGCTCAGGCCTCCAATGCATGTTGTGGCTCTGCCACCCTGGCCACTAGTCACTGTTACCTCAGAGGTTGTGGGTTCAGGCAGTTCTCACTGGTAGCACTGGGCTGTCCTCGAAGGATCCCTGCTCATCTCCACTCACTTTATTCACCAGCGCTGATAGAGTGAGGCCCTGTTGAGCTTCAGGAGCTGGATTTGGCCCCAAGGGTTGTGGCCTCACTGACCCATGGCTGGGAGGCATGGAGCGAGATTGGACTGTGTGTACAAGCTAAGCAAGGCCACACAGAGATGAAAGTGCAAAGCAGGTTTCTAGTCATGCGAAGCCTGAAGAGGGAGAGAAGCAAAGTACAGCAGAGTCTGAAGTAGACAGCAGGGAAGTTTGCCACTCAGTGGGGCACTGACTCTGGGGATTCCTCCCCAGGAATGCTGTGTGCTACACTGTCTAGCTGGCTCGAGCTTACCTTTTTGTCTTTCTTTTTAATCTTTACTTAATACTTAATAAATGTATATATTTTATGGGTACAATGTGATGCTCCAATTCATTGTATATAAAAAATTGTATGCAATGTGTAAATACAGTGATCAAGTCAGAATAATTAGCATATCTACCATTTAAACTTGTATAATATCTTGATGGCAAGTACATTCAGAATCCTCTTTTCTAGCTGTTTTGAAATCCATAGTACATTATCACTATGCATGTTCCCCACTATGCCACAGAACACTAAAGCTTACCTACTGAACTGTACCTGTTAATTAGAGTTTCTCCCCTGAACCCCCTCCTTTGCTCTCCCTAACATCTCTTTTTGGTGTTGTTAAACATCACTGAGCTTTCTTTTTCCCTCAAAGCAAACAGCAGCCCCACCAGTCCCCTCTTTACTTTGCTAAATGTTGTGCTTGGACTAACAGTGTGCCTCACCTGGTGTTCACAGCCTCTGGGAGAGGAAAGCCCATGTGACCTCATCTGAGGCAACATCTGGGCCCGCCAGGGACATGTGGAAGGTTCCCAGTACAGTGATCGGGCAGCTGATGCCATGGGCTCCACCTTCATCACTCCAG